TTCAACTTAAACGATCTCAGCAGCGTGCCTCCAATATGTGGGGATATTTATGGGATAATAATAGTAACAGTGAGAATTGCCCACTATTTCAATTCTCAGATCCCAAAGAACGTTTATCGTGTTAAGTGGAATGTATTTCATATAATAATATCACAATGTATAAAAATAGATTTTTATTTATAATGACAAATTAATAATAATAATATTATATGTAACATGCATAACAATAATCAATGAATATCCAGTACAAAATTATATGCAATACAAAGAAATGGGTATTACGTTTCAATGGCTAAAACAGCATTATCTGTCAAGAATTCTGAGGATTTATGAGGTATCCTTAACATAGACTTTTCACAGCTAAGAACAGAATTCCTCAGAGTGCAGCGTAAGGTCGTAAAGTTTAGCAGACAGTTAGAATAACCCTTTCAATGCTGGCTAGATCTCCTAGGTAGTTAAGATCTATTCTTATGTATTTTTAAATAAAATAACATTTAAACCAGTTCACTAGTCATTTTCTTAAACCATCCATAAGAGAATTTACCACATTATATAAGCAGATTTTTAATTTGTCTAAAAGATATCTATCTTAATTTAGAGCAAATCAATACACCTGGATAAAAACAGCGGTATGCTAACACGTGATAATATCACATCAATATATAATTATTCTTAATTCCACCTGCAGAATGGAATGTTTATAACTATATATTCTTAGTTAACTAAGATTTCTTAACATGGAAATCTGACCGTGCTTTATCCAGTCATATATAATGCTATTAATACATTTTAATTAATTTAATTAATTATGAAACCAGTATAATTACCAGTTGAGTAGATATTTCATCCGATTGGTAGTCTCTCTGCATGGAGGTGTTGGTTAGAAAGTCAGTAAATTCTAAGTGTTAGAGTTTTAGGAGTAGAATGTTAGTCTCAGATGTTGTCCGAGTTGGAATCCCCAAACTTCCAATTCCTCTCTTTTCTCTTTTGCATATCTTGCATCTGCCTCCTCTCCTGTATATCTCTATCTTCCCTTTGTCTTAACTTTTAAAGGGCCAGACTCTCTGTACGTCATCAGTTGATAACCCAATAGAAGCACTAGAGGTGTGGTTATCTTCCAGATCGCAAATTAGTTATTTGGTCTGTAGAGGGCAGTCTTGTCCCACTAAACATACCTATCCAGGAAAGAGTTAACTTTTCCTGGTGGCTATTTTGACGTCATTTTGCGTTATCTTTATAGCGCCATAATTTAAAATTTCAAAGGGTTTCTTAAATTTTGTCCAGACTTAGCGTCTGCAATTCCTGCCATAATTTCTGATATGACAGATCATGAACTAAGTTTACCCTTTTCCATACAATGGTACCTTATATATATAGACAGTTAAATATTAAATTATTTAATCTTCTCTGTCACAATTGTCTGGGTTTAGATTTGATTATATTCCATTAGCATTAGACAGTCTGTCCAACCCCCTTCCTTATCACTTGGCTTGTATATACCATGCATTCCTCAGATCTGGGAAAGTGGTTAGCTTACAGATAGAAATATAGTGTCTTTTTGTTAACTTGAAATAACAAAATGGAGTCTGATCTGTTCAGAGTGACTCAGAATATACACTTTTAGTTTCTATCATAGCACAAAATGTCTGCCGATATAAATACTCTGACAAGGAACAACAAGCAGCTGCTGACCCTGAAGAAATACAAAGCTGGAAACAGAAAGGGGCAACCCTTAAAGACAGGCTGTACCTCAACAATCTCAAGTTCTGTTTACCCAAGAGCATGTACTCAGCAGTGGTCCAGGAGGCCCATGGAGCATCACACTTGTCCAATACCCTCCTGAACTCTTTGATCAACAAATACTATGAAGCACCAGGAAGTTACTGCAGATCCTGCACCATCTGTACCAAATGCAATCCAGGCAGGATGGAGAAGGCCCCCAAAGCTTTTAGCCAAGCCTCACTATCCCTTCCAAAGAATCCAAGTTGACCACACCCAAATGCCAAAGAGTGGCTGGTTTGAATATGCACTAGTTATAGCAGATATGTTCTCAAGATGACCAGAGACCTACCCAATCACCAATAGGAGGAGAGACCACATGCCAAGTAGTACACCGTGAAAGTTGCTGAGATCACCCCATGGATTCACCACTCCAGAATCAAGCCTGCCTCTGCTCCATGGGAAGTAACATTTGTTGATCTTGACAACCCTTTGAAACTCCATTTTAAGAAAATAAAGATACTTGGTGGAGTAAATATCAACAAGTAGGTGTTTTGATGGTCATAATAACGCCTGACCACCTGCCATCTTTGGAAAGCTGAGGACCCCAAAGGGAGACCTCATGAAGCCAGAGAGAATCAGAAGTACTCCTTACCCTGCAGCCCTCATGTCCGGAAACTGAGGTGCCTATGCACGGTCGAAGCTTCTTCAGAATCATCTGCTCATCTTGAGTTCATGGTGATATTAATATTGAATAAATGTTCTGAGTCCACCAGTAATAAGGTAGCATGGGACTGGCCTTATACAATTAAGAATAAGTAAATGTGCCCTAGCCAAGGTTATCATACCCATACACATAATATCTGACAAACACCAAGATACTCCTGATACACCACATTCATACTTCAGAGTAAAGAGAAGCACTCCTGTAAAGGGCATTTTTGACGATGATTGGCAGAAAGTTCTGACCCAGATAGGTGTGGCTGTCTTGTTAATGATGATTATTCTTGCTCTCCTTGTCTGTTGTGTGTTACCTTGTCTTAAGAAGTGTCTACAGAAGACAGTTGACCAAACAGTTTACCGGACTACCCCGACTTTCCTTCACCAAGCAATGGAACACAAGGTCATTAGCCTCACCTGTAGGGGCTGTGAGCAGCTATATAACTGCAGTTAAAGCAGGGTGAAGTGAGGGAAGTGTTTTGAGGAGAAAGAAGGTTTGCTGTTTATTGTATCCTGTTACTTCATAACAACAGAAAATAAACAGGCCAGATGCCTTTTGAAACTGGACTTTGTCGTGACCTGGTTTTCTTACCCTAGAGGGCTGTGCGGTTTCCAAAAGATCCTGGACAAACACACACGGGCAAGTAAGTTTGTCACAATATATATATATATATACACACACACTGCTCAAAAAAATAAAGGGGACACAAAAATAACACATTCTAGATCTGAATGAATTAAATATTCTTCTGAAATACTTTGTTCTTTACATACTTGAATGTGCTGACAACAAAATCACACAAAAATTAAAAAAGGAAATCAAATTTTGCAACCCATGGAGGTCTGGATTTGGAGTCACACTCAAAATTAAACTGGAAAAACACACTACAGGCTGATCCAACTTTGATGTAATGTCCTTAAAACAAGTCAAAATGAGGCTCAGTAGTGTGTGTGGCCTCCACGTGCCTGTATGACCTCCCTACAAAGCCTGTGCATGCTCCTGATGAGGTGGCGGATGGTCTCCTGAGGGATCTCCTCCCAGACCTGGACTAAAGCATGTGCCAACTCCTGGACAGTCTGTGGTGCAATGTGACATTGGTGGATGGAGCGAGACATGATGTCCCAGATGTGCTTAATTAGATTCCGGTCTTGGGACCAGGCGGGCCAGTCCATAGCATCAATGCCTTCATCTTGCAGGAACTGCTGACACACTCCAGCCACATGAGGTCTAGCATTGTCTTTCATTAGGAGGAACCCAGGGCCAACCGCACCAGCATATGGTCTCACAAGGGGTCTGAGGATCTCATCTCGGTACCTAATGGCAGTCAGGCTACCTCTTGCGAGCACATGGAGGGCTGTGCGGCCCCCCAAAGAAATGCCACCCCACACGATTACTGACCCACTGCCAAACCGGTCATGCTTGATGATGTTGAAGGCAACAGAACGTTCTCCACAGCATCTCCAGACTCTGTCACGTCTGTCACATGTGCTCAGTGTGGACCTGCTTTCATCTGTGAAGAGCACAGGGCGCCAGTGGCGAATTTGCCAATCTTGGTGTTCTCTGGCAAATGCCAAACATCCTGCACGGTGTTGGGCTGTAAGCACAAACCCCACCTGTGGATGCCCTCATACCACCCTCATGGAGTCTGTTTCTGACCGTTTGAGCAGACACATGCACATTTGTGGCCTGCTGGAGGTCATTTTTCAGGGCTCTGGCAGTGCTCCTCCTGTCCCTCCTTGCACAAAGGCAGAGGTAGCGGTCCTGTTGCTGGGTTGTTGCCCTCCTATGGCCTCCTCCACGTCTCCTGATGTACTGGCCTGTCTCCTGGTAGCGCCTCCATGCTCTGGACACTACGCTGACAGACACAGCAAACCTTCTTGCCACAGCTAGCATTGATGTGCCATCCTGGATGAGCTGCCCTACCTGAGCCACTTGTGTGGGTTGTAGACTCTGTCTCATGCTACCACTAGAGTGAAAGCACCGCCAGCATTCAAAAGAGACCAAAACATCAGCCAGGAAGCATAGGAACTGAGAAGTAGTCTGTGGTCACCACCTGCAGAACTTGCTAATTGCCTACAATTTCCACCTGTTGTCTATCCCATTTGCACAACAGCATGTGAAATTGATTGTCACTCAGTGTTGCTTCCTAAGTGGACAGTTTGATTTCACAGAAGTGTGATTGACTTGGAGTTACATTGTGTTGTTTAAGTGTTCCCTTTATTTTTTTGAGCAGTGTATATAACTATACAATATCAAAATACACTTATAGTGGATTTATATATATCTATATCTATCCATCTATATATATATATATATATATAATGTCCTGATTGCCTTATTAACTTTTTAAGTGTTTTTTTTGCCATCTTTTGAATCAATAGTAAAAACAAATATGAGAATGGATGAACTTGATGGACTCGTCTCTTTTCGGCCTGTGTAGCTATGTAGCAGTATAACTCTTAGAGAAGCTAAATCCTATGATACAAACTATCTTCCCCTTGGTTGAAGAATGTGGTAAAACCCGTCCCACTGCTTTCTGTGAAAACATTAAGTTTCATTTCTTGTTTCTGCTTTCAGTGATGGCGGCTGCGTATCTGAGAGACGAGCTGACCTGCTCTATCTGCCTAAACATTTATACATACTCTGTAACCCTGCCATGTGGACATAGCTACTGCCGGGTTTGTATCGAGACTGTGATGGACACACAGGGGGTGAGAGGATATTCCTGTCCTGAATGCAGACTGACTTTTGGGGAAAAAAGTGAGCTTAAAAGAAACCATAGACTGTGTAACATAGTGGAGAGTTTCCTATCTGCTCACCCAGGACAGGAGAAGGTTGGGATCCCCTGTACTTACTGTTTTCAATCTCCTGTACCTGCTTCTAAAACATGTCTGCACTGTGAAGCTTCTTTATGTGAAACCCACCTGAAGGTCCACAGCAAGTCAGCAGAACATGTCCTAACTGAACCAACCACTTCAATAGGGAACAGAAAATGCTCTGTCCACAAGGAAATCCTTAAATATTACTGCTCTGAGGATGCTGTCTGCATCTGTGTGTCCTGCAGACTGGATGGGGAGCACAAGGGACACCAGGTAGAGACTCTGACTGAGACCTCTGAGAAGAAGAAGGAGAAACTGCGAAATATTTTGCAGAAACTGACTTCAGAGAGAGAGGAGGCTGAGAGAAGAGTCCAGAATCTACTGGAGCTTAGGAGAGAAGAGCAAGAAAAAGCAGCTGGGGTAACAGATGAAGTCACTGCTCTGATTAGGGGCATCAGGGAAGAGCTGGAAGCACTAGAGAAGCGAGTCCTGAGTAAGATCTCCAGGCAGCAAGAGCAGGTCTTACTCCGAGTCTCAGATCTAATCCGTCAGTTGGAAATAAAGAAGGAGGAGCTGTCCAGGAAGATGGGTCACATTGAGGAGCTGTGTAACATGATGGACCCATTAGCTGTCTTACAAGAACGGGAATCAGATAGCGCTGACTATTGTGATGCTGAGGATGGAGATAATGAGGACAGAGAGAAACACAAAACAAAGGTCCATGCTGTAGGGCATCTGGATGTGGGTCTGATCTCAATAACCTTACAGTCAGGCTTAGCTCGGATTGTGGCCAGAATAAAAAGACAAAGTCATGTACCGGCTAATATATTACTGGGGATAGAATTAGTTTCAGACATGTTACTGGATGTAAACACAGCTGCTAATGATGTAACTGTATCAAGTGACATGAAAACTGTGTCTGTGTCAGAAATAAACCAGAGTCGCCCAGAAACACCAGAGAGATTTCAGCATTATTCTCAGGTTTTAAGCTCCAGCAGTTTCTCGTCAGGGCGACATTACTGGGAAGTGGAGTGCAGTGAATCAGGGGGATGGATGGTAGGGATGGCCTATCCCAGTATAGACAGGAAAGGAGATCAGTCAGAGATTGGATATAATAACAAGTCCTGGGGTTTGGAGAGTTGGTGGAATAATAATGAGTATTATGTGATATATGACAGAGAAGCAGTACCATTACTTCACCTCCCTTCCAGTCAGAGATTACGGATATATCTGGACTATGAGGCTGGGCGGCTGTCCTTTTATGAGCTATGTGACCCGATCAGACACTTACACACCTTCACTGCCACCTTTACTGAGCCTCTCCATGCTATTTTTGGGGTATATCATGGTAATAACTGGCTGAGAATTTAATGTATTGAATGATTTATTGATTTAATTAAAGATATTTAACTGAAAATTCCAAAGTGGGAATCTGGAGCCAGTAAAACTGATCTGGGTGTGGGCAAAACATCACATTAGGGTAAGCTTCATCTACTTAGCTATTTTGTTTTTCTTAATTCATTAATAGTAACAGCTTGACCATGTATCCTGAATTTTGCATTTTGTTTTTATGTCGCAATAATTCATGGTTTACTGATTTAAAGTGTGTGAGTGTTTTGTGTGTGTTGTTTGAGTGTGGTGAGAGTTATAGTTCATTGCATCTAAAAGGTCAACTACAGACAGACTATGTGTGTGAATGTGGGACTTATAATGCGTGTGTCACATTGTCAGTGTGTGTGTCATTACGTGTTACTTGTGTACTGGGTGATTATTGTTGTATATTAATTGAGTTGTAATGAGCAATGTAATTCTCCAGCCATTCTCCAGGTTTAGACTGAGCTCTCTGTATGATATTGAAATGTAGACACAGTATATTTTGCTTGATTGGCTTTACTAAAATGGTGTTTGTAATATTAGGAACGGTTATAATGAACAGATAATGAAAATATACCCAATAATCCATGTACATATAGAAAATGATCTAAAAAATGAGACGGGAGTTTGAAGCTTGCAGGACCGGACTGGGAATTAAAAGCAGCCCTGGAAAAACAATATTTACCAGACCCATAATGCGTCGCGCCAGCATAGTGTGCAGATACAGAGTTAGAACAGATAACTTAAAATTAAAAAGTACTACAACGTAAAAAGCGCACTCATAGGCTTCAAAATAAACAAAAGTGCAGATTTATTTTAAGCAGACGTGCCTTTGCATGTAATCAATGTTTCAGTCCAACTACCTTGACATATTAAAGAAAGCTTGTTAATGGGACTGAAATGGTGAATGTATGTAGGGCACAACTGTAAAAAATGTTTATTTTGAAGTCCTGTGGGTGTGCTCTTCACTTTAAATATGTTATTGTGCTGGAGTATGCACCTAGCAACAAGACTGAGCCAATATCTGCTCATTACATATGGTACATATTAATGAAATTTCTCTGTGTATTATGCATTTATAAATGTACATTAATACGTGTAAATATAATAGAGATATAAAACTAATACACACATTAATATACATGTCATATACTAATGGCGGATCCAGAGCCTGAGCCTGAGAGGGGCACTTGTAGGTTATTTAAAGAAATATTCCATGCACAATAACCACTACTCCTCTGTGTAGTGGTTATGGTGCCAGGAGCATCGGCACTCCCTCCCAGAGTAAGTCGTCAAACAGTTTAAGAACAGTTTGACAACTTACCTGGAGTCTGCTGGGATATGGGGCTGTAGTAGGGTATAGGAGCAGTGGTGCAATGTGTGTGAAAGGTTCAGTGTGTGGGTGGGCAGTGTGTAAATGTGTATGGTGTGTGTGTGTGTGTGTGGGGGCAGTGTGTGAATGTGTATGGTATGTGTGTGGGGCAGTGTGTGTATGGGGCTAGAGTTCACTCCTACTACTGGGACCTCCAGGAAGTGGTGAGAGTGAACTCTAGCCCGTAGCTCCAGGACTAGAGTTCACCCTCGTGAGAGCCGGAGCGTTGCCCCAGGTCCTCTCTTCCTCCCCTGCCGACTGGCTGCACGGTGCCTGTGGAACGGGGAGGGAGATCGGCCGTGCCTTTTTGTCTCCCCCAGTCACTCTGTATGTTTCTTTCTCCCCCTCACTGCTCCTCTGTGTCAATGTCTCCCCTCTCCTTCCCAGTCTCTCTCTCCCCCCTCTGCCTCTTTCTTCCCCTCCCCTTGTGTGTCTCTCTCTCATTTCTCCCTCTTTGTCTCTCTCTTCCCTCTCTGCCTCTTTCACCCCCTTTCCCTGTGTCTCTTCCTCCCCCTTTCCCTGTGTCTCTCCCTCCTCCCCATCTCTCTCCCTCCCCCCTTTCCCTGTGTCTCTCCCCTCCTCCCCCTTTCCCTGTGTCTCTCCCCATCTCTCTCCCTCCCCCCTTTCCCTGTGTCTCTCCCCATCTCTCTCCCTCCCCCCTTTCCCTGTGTCTCTCCCCTCCTCCCTCCCCCGGGAAACCGGGAAATTTCCCGGTGGGCCAGTCCGGCCCTGGAAGCTTGTAAACTAGACGCCATTTATAGCGCACACTGCAAGTTCATTATTTCTCTAAATACCTTCCATAGGTTTAAGAATGTTAAATATATAAAATGTCACTGTATCTTCAGTTTGCTGAATAATTTCTGGGTCAATCAGGGCAATCTGAAAATTTCAATTAAAATCTTTATTGAGAATTTACTGAGTCATTTTGTGATCTTTATTCTAATCAATGTAATAAGTTATACTATTCTGCCCACATGCCACATTGACTATCTTTATTTTAGATAACCTCCATTTTATAATGCCCACATCATGCCCATTGCTTACATTTTATTTACATTACTTTGCCTGCATTACCTGATAACTGATGAGTCTATGTTGGACTTCTTTACGTATGCTGTGCTGTGATTCTTGGCCACGAGATAGAATGGCATCTTGCGGGAGTGTAGCTGAGATTCACAAAGTCGCATGTTGTGAATCAGGAAGCATAGTCCCTGCTACTTACTCGTACATAATTTTGCTCAGTAAGGGTGTGTACACTAGCCCTTTAACCCTTAAACACCCATAACAAAGATGATGGAATTAGCACATTGATGTCTTGACAAAGCCATACAGAAGAAACGTGTAGACGGAGTGACGTAATCAAGTGGGCGGAGACACACTGAAATTCCTGCAGACTTTTCTTGTTTCTCCAAAACTTTTTGTTCATATTCCAGAATTGATCTGATCTTAGGAAATGGAAACCTAGCCAATCAAATTAAAAAGATTTTATAACAGCAACAACCTAGTCTGATCATAATCCGGTCATATTGGAAATAAAAGACCAGTATGAAAGAGTACGAACAGACTGGAGAATAAAAGATTGGATAATGAAAAATGAAGATAACCTTAAACAAATTACAGATAATTTTTTTCAAGAAAATAGTCTCCCCAGCAATGACTTGGTGTGCATATAAATCAATAGTTAGAGGCACGCTCATAAGTTTAACAGCTAAAGAAAATAAAGTAAACAGTTAAAAGAATAATCTAGTAGAGCTCTATATAAAACTAGATAATTTAATGTGCCAAAATAAAAAAAATCCATCAGACAGTACTACCAATTTAATAAGAGAAACAGAATAATGAATAAACAAACATTTAATGGCAAAGACTAACAAGACCCAGATTTTTATGAAGAGGAAATGGTATTATATGGGAAATAGAGCGGAAGTATTAATGTCGAACAGACTAAAAAAAGAGAGAGCCAAAAAACTTATTACTAAAATTATCCATAAAGATGAAGTCTTATTAAGACCAGAAAAAATAGGGGACGCATTTAAATTTTATCAAGAATTATATAATATACCCAATTCAGCGAATAAATCGGATATGTTCGATTTCTTTAAGAGTATTAAATTGCCAAAAATTACCCCTGGACAACTAGAAGAGTTGAATGAAGCCTTCCAAGAGGAGGAACTAATATTCTGTATTAATAAACTAAAGAAGAATAAATCCCCAGGGCCCGTTGGATTCGATAACCTCTTTTACAAATTACTAAAAGATAATATTAAAAATGGTTCTAGTTCAGGCTTTTAACTCCTTTGCAATGTTCCGGCAGAATTACTGCAAGCAAATATAGTCCCAATCCCGAAGCAGGATAAAGACAGAAACAAATTAAAAACTATCGTCCAATGTCCTTTTTAAATACGGACATTAAGCTATATTCAGCTATGATAGCAGAAAGATTGAAAAAGATTTTACCAGATGTTATTGATGGAGATCAAGTGGGGTTTGTCCCAGGTAGGTCTTCTACTCAACATTAGAAGATTGATATCTTGAAATATGTGAAGAGAATGGGAACTCCCATGTTGACCCTGGCTTTAGACGCTGAGAAAGCGTTTGACAGGTTCAACTGGGAGTTTATGAAGCAATCACTACAGGCATTTTGTTTAGAAGGAAACTTTTTGAAAACATTTTAGCTCTATATACTGTACCAACAGCTAGAGTCACGGGTAATGGTTTTAGATCGGATTGGTTTCCTTTCCTTAACGGAACAAGACAGGGGTGCCCCCTGTCACCACTACTTTGTATAATGTCACTAGAACCCCTGGCCTCGGCTATTAGACAAGAGGAGAAAATTTGGGGTTTTCATCATAATAAAGAAAATATAAAAATAAATCTTTATGCTGACGATGTGAGTTTAACCATAGAAAAACCTTTGCAATCAATAACACAATTTATGAAAATTAAAAAAAAATTCTCCTACATTTCAGGATATAAGGTAAATACAGACAAATCGACCATTTTAGCTAGCAATGTAAATATAGAAGAAAGGAATGAAATATCAAAGAGGTTTGATTTTGTTTGGGCAGAGAAATCATTTTCTTATCTGGGTATTAATATATGTACAGATCCACTAAAAATAGTAGAGATTAACGTTCTTCCACTACTTATTAAAATGAACAGGCTTTTAATGGAATGGAGAGGTTTAGAATTTTTGTGGTGGGGCCGGATAAATATTATTAAATCTTACATTTTACCAAAGTGGTTATACTTATTTAGAATGATCCCTATGAGAGTACCTGATAGCTGGTTGCTAATGATTCAACAGTCCTTCTCTAAATTTGTTTGGCAAGCGAGAAAACCAAGAATGGCAAGAAAATTCCTAGCGATCAATCAATCCAATGGAGGAGTAGGATGGAGGAGGAGGACCTGAGCCTCAAACTTCTGGAACTAGAATCGGCCAAAGGTTTACACGAATCCCTCCAAGGTTTCGGTGGTCTCATCCGTTCGTACTACAACCTACAAACAGACTTTTTATTTCGTGACTTTAATAAACCGTTTGTGAGATCTGAGCGCAATTCGTATATCTTGTGCGCTTAGATCTGAGCTTCCCAGAGACTGGATGAATGGGCTATGTGTATATTAAAATCTAAAAGTTATATATTTTTAAGTTGTTTTTGTGTGGGCACAAAATGTGGTATTTTCATGTGCTTGGAGATAATTAGGTCATTGTAACGGTTGAAACCAATTATCTCCAAGCTAGGCTGTAACCTTTGCAAACGATACACTGTAATGCCATTGGTTGGGACATTGCATTGTTCCTTGTCCCATCAGGTCCGGAAGGGGGTTGTCCATGGACTTGATGACTTGCATAAATTGCCATGTATGAGTGCCAGTAAATCAGTTTGTGTTACCCTCAAATCGGAGCCTCGACTCGTTTTGTAGGGAAGGGTGTTATCCTAGCTTTATTCACAGCTAGTGGGATTTTTGACATTTTCAGGATTTATCGCTGTATGCAGATCGGAGCGGCACTCTCACTCTCCATTATTGGGAACCAGGATATCCAAGCGGTCCAACTTCCAGCTAGCTAGGAGGCAAGCAAAACACCCCAGTTCTGGTGAAGTTGCTCCCAGGGGCCAGCCTGCCCTGTAAGCCACAATACCCTCCGAAGCCTGCCCAAGCTCTTACTATTTCCCAACAGGTTAAAGCTCTGGTGTCAAATGGTGCCCTGGTCCCCTGTGCCTCTCTCTGCAATACCCCACTGCTCCCTGTAAAGCAATTCGGTGAAGGGTGAGCCAGAATAATACAAGACTGTTAACAAAGCTACTGTCCTGGAAACTCTCATTATGCTTAACCCCCATCTGCTCCTGTCTCACTCTACTACCTTGCTGAATAAGGATGCAAGGCCTCCAAAAGAATGCTACAATGGTGCCGGCCCTCAGTGGTCTTCTTGGGACATTGTCTTTTCCATGGCACCCATCACCTCCCCTGGGACCGAGTGAG